AGCGCATTCGAGTGACCACGCGGTTCATGTTCTCGAAATGCTCCCATACGAAGCGTCGAATGCCGCGGTTCGAAGGGAGCCGCTCGTCGTCGTAGTCGGATTCGGGACCCTTGACGGGAACATCGTCGACGTAGGGCACCGTAATGTGCGGAATCTCGGGCTGGAGGATGTAGGTGACGTTGTCGTGAAAGATTGGGACTGAGTTCGTCCAACCCATCGGGAGTGTGACTAGGCGCATGGCTCCGTAGGGTGTCTGGAACGTCGTTAGATCTCTCGAAGACTCGGCGATGAGTCGTTCGTCGTAGCCGACGTAGAGGTCGAGCATGCCGCCGCATGGTCTTCCTCCGAATTGTTCTGCGAGGTATTCGGGTGTCGGTGGTACACCGGAATGTTGGATCGTGACTGCATTGAGGGGCTCGAGGGAATGGACGAGTCAAAGAGATTTACCGTCCTTCTTGACGACACAGAACCAACGCGATCGATACGACGAGTTCGATTGCTCGTAGACTCCGGCGGCGATCTTTCGCTTGATCACCGCGCAGACTTCGTTGTAGATCCCGGGCGGAATGGGGATATTCTTCTGCACCCAGGGCGTGTGAGGAACGACGGGGAAATCGACGGGGGGGAAGTACTCGGGCTTGAAACATCTGCGCTCGTCATCGGTCCAGGCGAAGGCTTCGTTGTGCAGGCACATGAAGTGGTGGAGGACTCAACGCTCTTTGGGAAGTAGGAAGTCGCCGTCGTGAAGCTTCTCGGTTGCTTCGAAGTGTTCGAGGGTGTACCGACCGGTAGGTTTGAACGGCGGGGGGTCGGTCGAAAGTTTAGGCATGATGGAGAGAGGGTCGCCCTTGATGTCTCGAAGTATTCGAAATTGTTCGGGGACGGCACCAAGGACGGGTCGGGTTTTGAGAGCGACAGGCTTGTATTTCTTCTTTGTTGCGGCGAGGATCTTGTGCGTTGAAGGGGTAGAAGTCGATGTCGTCGAAGGAAAGGGAAGAATTGAGTTGGAGAACTGTGAGATGGACTTCGTCGGAACGGGAGCTGGGGGAGTCGAAGCAAACGGAGCTGAAAATAGAAGAGTCAAAGCCCACGTCGAAGCGTTCGATGGGGCGGCATTAGAAGCTGTACTGTCCGAGGCGTATAGAGACTGCAAATATGAAGAAACGGAGGTGCATGCGGAGAGGTACAGTGACGAAACAGCGTTCGGAATCGAGGAGTCAATAGGAGCGATGAAGGAAATACCCGGGTTTACCCCATCGTAGTCGATGACTAGCGCGGCTTCTCCTTGATCATGGGGAATCAATTCCTCGAAGCTAGAAAATGCGATTTGCGACACCCGACAGGATGCTGCCGGCTTTGCGATCTTCCTCGTGCGTACGTCGGAATCGTGACGGTTTCGCCGGTGTTCGGACAGAGGATCGTAATGGTCTGGTTCTCGTCAGCAAAGTTTTTGACGACGCTCTGCGTGAGCACATCGAAGGGCCGGCCGAGGAGAATGTCGTATGCTGCATTTCGAATGACGTGAGCCTGAAGATACAATACGATCTCACCGATGTGGAAGGGAACATTTCGAATGAGTCCCAGCGATCGGTCCACCTCGCTGTTCGCCGATTGCATGTTCAGCTGGATAGTAGGATCGAAGAGGAGGTTGAGGCCCAGACAGACCTCTTCCAACATGGCGACGATCTGCGAACCGGGGTCGACGATGCATTCGATCTGCTCTTTGTTGTCGACCAACGCGATGATCGAACGAATCGCGTTCGAATCGCGGGCGACGGTGAATTCTGCGGGGTGCTCGCCGTGCGGGATGTGCTTCAGATATGTTTCATATGGGTCTGGGACAATTGTAGCACCGGGTTCCAACGTTGCACCTGAACACGAGAGCTGGTTGACGGCTGTGACCTCGTCGGCGCCGATTTCTACGATGTGGGCCGACACGACGGGTTCCGTCGAGACTCACTTAGGGGTGACGGCGTCGCGGTACTTGTTTCGAACGTCGGGCGCGATTGACAGCAACTCTTCTGGGGTCAGCGTGACGAACGGCGACTTCATCGAACGCTGGAAGATCTCTTCGGCGAGCTTCGGCTGGATAACAGGGACAATGGTCTTGTACGCTGGTTCCTTGCCCTTGTCGTTCGAGGGCTTCGGCGGAGTTGCAAAGTTTCGAACGTTCGGCGGGGCGTAGGTTGTGTCGCGAGCGTTTGCGAAGGGGTGTACTGGTGGTGCTGGGGGAGCGGATGTAGCGATAGGATGAGACGTGGATTGCGCAGGCGAGGAAGAAGACGACGCGGGTGCTGCTGCTGGTATTGTCGGAGGCGGGGCCGTGCTTGTCGAAGTGCTCGGGGGCGCCGCCACTCCTTTCGATGTACCAGAGCCAGAGGCTTCCGTGCTTCTCATGACGACTGGCGTCGTGGGCTTCTTCCGCTATAGAATCTCGACGCCGTCGAAGACCTCCCTGCGCTTCTGAAGCTGAAGGAGTTCTCGCTCGAGCGCCTCAATCCTGCTGCTGGTGTTGAGCGTGAAGGTCTGCATAGTCGAGTGATCGTCGATCTCGAAGAGCATCATCGGAGCGGCGGGTGCTGCGGGATTTCTTCTATGCCACTCATAGATTCGATCCCGTATCGTGAGACCAGGGATAGTGCGGGGGCAGAAGCTTCCGTTTGGAAGGACGATCTTTCCTTTGGTGTTACGCTTGCACTTGCCGTCCCGGATGTCGATCTCCGCGAACTCACAGGTGCCTACCCTGCAGCCACGATTGCCGCAGTAGTGGCACGTCTGTTCAACTCCGCTGTTCTCGTGGACGTGGACAGCAGCTTGTTGTCTCGGTGCGGGGGCGTGGTTGTGCGTAGCGTGTGTCGTCGGCTGAATGAGTGTTGTGATCGTTCTCGACAGGCTTTCGATGATCATCGAGATGTCTTCGGTTTTGATCATCCCGGGGGGCACCGTTGTCGAAGTGTTCGACGTCGAAGCGGTAGCTTGGTTAGCCGCTGTCGTAGGTGTGCTCGATGTACCGTGTAAGATGAACGTAGCCGCCGCGTGAATCTCTGCCATGGTGTACGGGTCGTCGGCGTAGTGATCGGGATGCTTGAGATGCAGTCGGGTCTCGAGCCGTGTGAGCAACGCTGGCTGGAAACCTCGAAGAAATGCGCGACTTTGCTCGATAGTAGAGAGCCGGTGCTGTGCGATGAGATGTTTCGTAATGGCCATGAAGTCGCGGTAATAGCAGCCTAGGTCTGCCGCGTTGTGAATCCCGATACGAGCGTGTTCTCCGATGAGCTGATCCATGTCTGCCAGCGACCACTTTCTTGTATCGTCGGCGCCAGGATAGAGTGCTCGTACGTCGGCTTTCCAGTCGTTGTAGCTTTTGGCTACGTCGATGAAGGACTCGATGGTTTCCCATAAGTCGGCGACGTCGATCGAAGGATACCGAACGGCCCACTGTTTCTTGGCTGCTTCGTCGGTAATCTGACACCGGGTGAACAACGCCTCGAGGTCCTGGAAGTAACGCCGAAGCGAGCGGACTTCCGACGGGTCGAAGCTTGGTGCCGTCGAATGACCGCGCGGGGGCATCAATGGTGTGTTCGTGTTCTGACTCATGTTTGTAGTGGTAGTAGGAGCTGGGCTCGAAGAGGACGTGGTAGTAGTCGAAGGAATCGTAGGAGCAGGCGGTGTGGGGTTGGAGTTCGAAGCTGCATTCGAAGGTGCTAATGGTGGCGGAGGTGCCAGGTCGGATGTAGGTATGACTGAGAGTCGCGAAGAGGATGCGATGGGCGGCTGAGCGTGGGCGCAAAAAGACGACGGAGCCGGAAGTACGAGATTCGAAGTAGATGGGATGGGATACTCGGGTTTGGGCGAAGAACTGGATCGTTCGAAAAGATCAGGAGTCGAAATGTCGTAGTCGGAAGTAGTGAGGCCTAGAAGCTCGGGGGACGAAGTGCGTTCTTCGGCGGTCGAAGGGATTGGTTCTTCGTTGAAGTCGTCCCGGAGTTCTTGGTCTATCTCGTCTTCTTCGTCGCGGTCGAAGTCACCAGGGATTGTTGGAGAGGGAGTCGATTGCGTTCTAGAGGAGCTGTCGAGGTTCTCAGCGGCGCTGCGGCTAGCAGCCTCACGCGCTTGCGAGCGGGTGACTACTGGAGACGTTTTCGGAAACCCGAAAGCGGCAAATTCTTGCCTGAAATCCCCTCGCGGTGGGCTCCAGAAATGATACGACCTACGAAACCCTAACCCCTAACCTGGGTGCGACCTAAAGGGACTAGAGAGACGGATTATAGTCTAATGAGGGGGGAGTTAGCAGCAAGGTGTCCCGCGGTTCGAGTGAACACGAGAAATGCCTTCGGAAAAGGCTACAAACGCTAGGGAAGGTACAAGGTGGCTTCGACACGTCGTCGAAGCTACTCGGAGGCTGGGGGTGGTTAGTGGAGACGATCGAAGCTCGGCAGAGCTCTTCGACGTATCGTAGAGAGAAGGGACACGATTCGATAGGGGGGACTTAACTAGGACGAGGTTTCGAGGTTACGCAGTGAGGAATGAAGTGACGCAGTTGAGGACGTAGATGCAGGGCGAACTCGACTTATGAGCTCTGAACTCGAGGGGGGGAACGGATCTTGTATTTTTGGAGAGAAGTACGACAGATTTTATACTACACAGGATGCTACGACTATTCGAGAGTGGCATACGGGTACAAGGGGCTTTGCATTGTTCCTCAAGAAGCTGCCTCACCGAGGGGCACATACCAAGTCCATCGGTAGAGTGACGTCATGCCGAACGCGGAGATGAAGAGAAACATATGGCCACTTCGGACCGGTAGCCGTCGTCGAAGGCATGCCGCAAGGTTCGATACCTAATCGGGAAAGACCGGCTACTTCGGTGTGGCTTGGAGCGAAGCGCGCGCTTGGCCGAGCGGCGTCAAGTGGCCCTATTGTTCGCTGAATGCGGAAGATGTTCTGAGATCTACGCGCGAGGCATCGGGATGACCGTGCCAAGCTTCGAGTAAGCATCGCGCACCGTCGAAGGTGTCAAAGAGCGTTG